CGGCCCTTGATTCGTGGCTCAATGGTACCGCCGTGTCAAGAGAAGCCCACAAGACTGTACAAATATTGAGTCATCCTGGTGCGTCTCTCACAGGCGGTCGTGTTGCCTTATTACTTCGTTCAATTGATCACTCACTCCCTTCACTCCTTCATTAATTTTATCTAAAGTGAACGAAGTGAACGCCCCACAACAACCGTATCATCCTGGAACTTGGAGCCCTTAATCATATTGTTGCTACTGCCTCAAAGACCCTGGAATCCATCCCCAGCACACGTACTAACACTGTGGGCCTCAACATGTGACTTTGTGACTGGTCCGTTCACCTCTCTCACCCAGTTGTAACGCCAAACCCTTAACCCTTGACCCTCAACCCCTACACCCCAAACCCCAAACCCCAAACCCTAAACCCTAAACCCTAAGCCCTAAACTGGGCCTGATACCCCTTAACCCTCAGTAAGGGGCGGCCTTCGGGCTGCTTGGCTTGAAGATTTTGCCTCGGAGTCCTCATCGAAGGTTGGGGCCCGAAAGCCGAGGGTTCAGGGTTTAGGGTTTAGGGTTTCGGGTTTAGGGTTTAGGGTTTAGGGTTTAGGGTTTAGGGTTTAGGGTTTAGGGTTTAGGGTTTAGGGTTTAGGGTTTAGGGTTTAGGGTTTAGGGTTTAGGGTTTAGGGTTTAGGGTTTAGGGTTTCGGCTGTAGGCTTTAGGGGAATCACGGAGTTCGGGCCTTAGGGTTCCAGGGGGGGGTGAGGGGGCCTAGAGGCCCCCCTGAACCCCCAAGACCCTAACCCAGAACCCTCAACCTTCGAAACCCGAAAACCATAAACCACAAAACAACCCTGAACCCCCCCACCCTCCCCCAAACAAAACACACACACACACACACACACAACACAACCCACAAAAACCAAAAACAAAACGAAAAAGAAATAACAACGGAAACCTGGAACCCAGAGGCTAAAGGTCCTCCTCGCTGGGCTTCTTCTCGTGGGCGATCTGGCCGCCGCCGTTGAGGCAGCCTCCGCAGCCGGGAGGGTGTATGGGGGTTTAGGATTTAGGGTTTAGGGTTCAGGGTTCAGCCGGGAGAGTCTTTGTTCGCAGATGGGGAGTAGGTGTTTCGGGGTTTAGGGTTTCAAGAAGTTTGTATAAGGTTCAAGGGTGTGTAGAGCTTTGGAGGTTTCGGAGTTTAGGGACGTGTTTCGTGGTTGAAGCTGAGGCCAACCCTTGCCCGAAACCCTAAACCTGAACCCTAAACCCTAGACCCTAGACCCTAAACCCTAAACCCTAAACCCCAAACCCGAAGCCCTTGCCTCCTGGGCAGGCCATGATCTCGACGAAGTGCCCGAGATCTTTGCCAGAATCGCCGCCCCCCTGGCACGCGAAGTCTCGGCTGCCGAAATCCCGACCCTAACAACCCGCAACAGGGTTTAGGGTTTAGGGTTTAGGGTTGAGGGTTTAGGGTTGAGGGTTTAATAAGGTTCCCCCTTGACTCCCCAATTTCCCCCTTCCACGAAGAGGACGAAGCCCTGAAAAAGAAAGAAAACACATAAAGAAGCTGCAACACCCCAAACGCCCTCAAGAATCAGGTTCCTCAACTGCCCCCAACTTCTCTGTTCTCCCCCCCCCCCCCCCCCCCCCCCCACCCCCCCCCCACCCACCCCCCCCCCACTCTCAAACTCTGTCACTTTAAATCCCTGCAACGGCTACACTCCCCCGGCTTTGCTCGGCTTCTGCCCCGCGTTGCCCTTCTTCCCGGGGGCCTTCGTTATGCGGCGGATGACCTCAGAAACCGCGCTCTTCCACAGGAGTTCGAATTGGGGTTCAGGGTTTGGGGTTTAGGGTTTAGGGAATCTCATCTGACCCCTGGGACCCAAAACCTAAGCCCACGTATCCTCCCACCCACAGAGAGAGAAGAGTGTCTGAGAGAGAGAGAGACATCAAAATAACAACGCAACAAAAAGTCTTCCCTTCCACGGCCTGAAACCCCTACACATCCCTGCACCCTACAACCCCAAACGCGCCGAAATGATAATCTGAGGGTTTGGGGTTTAGGGTTGAGGTTTCTTGTTACTACATAACCCCCTCAGAAGTAGCTCAGCTGAAAGCTCCTTAAGGCCCGAAAAAACCCTGAACCCTTCACCCTAAAACCCCTAAAGACCTCGGAAAGCTGAGGCCCTGGGCATTTTGAATGTTTCTAAATCCGTAAGCCGCCGTGAAGCGCAACCTCAGCCAGAGGCTTTTGCCATTTTTCAAGGGGAGGTGGGGGGGGGGGGGGTTTAGGGCTTAGGGGTTTAGGGCTTATGGTTCAGGGTGGAGGGTTCCAGACCGCTTGCACTGCAGTACTTGGGGGGCCTTGGGGTGCAGCGAACCCTCAACCCTCGAACCGCTTTCCAGACCCCAGAAACCTCGAAGCCAGACCTGACCCAAAGAGGCAGAAGCGCGGGAAGGGACTGCGCGCGCAGGGGCACGGCACAGGGTTGAACCCCTAAACCCCTAAACCCCTAAACCCCTAAACCCTAAACCCTAAACCCCTAAACCCTAAACCCTAAACCCTAAACCCCTAAACCCCAAAAACCCCTAAACCCCTAAACCCCTAAACCCGCCCGCCCCCCCTCAAAGCTCTATTGGGGTAGGCGGGCGCAGTCGAGCGGTCAGCGAGACCAGGGCAGGCTCTGCTGGGCTGCAGAGCCTGCCAGCCGCACCCCTGAGGGGTCGCCAAGCTACAGTCGCCTAGCATAGTCACTGTTATATTGTATGACCCGAAAACCCTCGGAGGGATCCTTTTTCCATTTGCCTGGACCTGCCCTGGCCCTGGCCCCCTGGCCCCCTAACCCCATGGCCCCTGGCCCCCTGGCCCCCTGGCCCCCCTGGCCCCCTGAGCCCCCTGGCCCCCTGGCCCTCTGGCCCCTGGCCCGCCGAGCCTTTGGGCCCTGGCTTCTGTGGACCCGGCCCCTGGGCCCCCTGGGCCCCCTGGGCCCCTGGGCCGCCCTGGGCCCTGGGTCCCTGGGCCCGGGGCCTGGCCCCGTGGCCCTCTGGCCGACCTGGCCCTGGTCCTGGCCCTGGCCCTGGCCCTTGGCCCTGGCCCCTGACCCTGACCTTGGCCCTGGCGCTGGGCTGCCTGGCCTTGCTTTGGCCCCTTGGTCCTGGCCCTGCCTTTGGTCCTCCTGGCCCTAATATTGGCCCTGCTGGTCCTGGCCTGCCCTTCTCTGTGCTTGGCCTTGCCCCTGCCTGAGCCTGAACGCTGCCCTGGCCCTGGCCCTGGCCTCTCACCTGGCTCTGGTGGTGGCCCTGCTCTGGTTCTTTGGGCCAGACTAGGGGTGCAGTGCAACCTCTTTTTTGAGAGGGCCCTGCGGCCCAGACCGTCCCCTTCGCGCAAACCTGAAGGAGAGTCCTTTGCCTTATGGACCCAAGTGACCCACAACCTGCAAGTTCACGCCTGAGTTTTCTGTGAGAGGGCCCTTCGGCCCAGACCGTCCCCTTCGCGTAAACCTGAAGGGGAACCCTTTGCCTTATGGCCCCAAGAAAAACCCAGAAGTCTAGTCACTAAAGGCTTGGGCTGTTCTAACTAGTTTTCAGAATCCTCCAAGAATGTTCGACGTGTGAGTTTTCAATGGTTGCCTTAGTTTGGGCTGGCTCCGGCTCGGTTTCGCGGATTTTGAATGGCTGGCTTGGTTTTGGCTGGCTCCGGTTTGGTTTCGCAGTGAGTTGTGATAGGGTGGCCTTGGGGTGGGCATGTCTTCACACTATTGCGTTCAGCTGACCCGTGCTACACCCTAAACCCTAAACCCTAAACCCTAAACCCTAAACCCTAAACCCTAAACCCTAAACCCTAAACCCCTAAACCCCTAAACCCCTAAAACCCCTAAACCCTAAACCCCTAAAACCCCTAAACCCTAAACCCTAAACCCCTAAACCCCCAAACCCCTAAACCCTAAACCCCTAAACCCCTAAACCCTAAAACCCCTAAAACCCCTAAAACCCCTAAAACCCCTAAGGCCCAGGGTCCCAACAGCACCTCCTGGCTTTGGGGATCTCGCAGGATGACCTGGCGACTTCGGCACCCGTGCTTCGCAACTTAGGGGGAGGGGGGAGGGGGGGGGGGTTGCCTCTAAGTTTAGGGTTTAGGGTTTAGGGTTTAGGGTTTAGGGTTTAGGGCTTAGGGTTTCGGATGTAGGGTCTAGGGTTTAGCTGGTTTGGGTTTTTTTTGGGGGGGGAAGCTTAGGGTTTAGGGTAGCTTCTAAGTCTGAGTTTGGATTGTTTTTTTTTTGAGGGGGGGGGGGGTTAGGTTTAGGGTTGAGGCTGGCTCGGTGGTGGTTCTAAGGTTGCTTGGTTTATGGGGGGTGTTCTTGAAAGGAAGCAGGCCATTTAAAGGCACCTGCCCAATCTCTAATACATCCCCCCAAGCCGGGTTAGGGCCCTCTAAACCCAAAACCCCTAAAGCAAACCTTAAAAATCCAAAAAAGCAGACCTTAAAGTTAACTTAAACCCTAAGACTTTCCCCTCCTCCGGGGCACATCGAGGGGGGCCTCGTAGGATGCAGCTGCTGCGATAAGGGGGGCGCAGGAAGGCATTTTCGTTCCATTAATTCAGCAGGCAAGCGGGGTTCCCGGCCGAAACCGACATAGGTCGGATCGAAACAGAGGCTTTGCGAGGAAGCTGCCGCAGTCACGCTTGGAATGTCGGAATGACGTTTGCGATTCAGGGTTGCCATTTGCAGAGAGCGACCTTCGCAAAAGCCTCGCGGCATAAATCGGGCAGAAAGAAACGCCTTGGGCGCGAGTCGTGTGGTCTTAAAGACCTGCCCATCCATCAACCCGAAACTCCAAACCCCTTGTATATTTTGCTTAACCCAAAATCGGTACACTTGACATGACCCATCATTTCATGATGGCGCCATGAAGCAAGCGGCAGTTGGTGTTTCCTGCCGGAGTGTTTGACATTGCCTGGCTTGAAAATGTCTTAATGCCAGTGCCGCCCTCTCAATCTGTTGAGATGCCGGGGGGCAGTCAAGGGTTACCTGGGCGAGGCGATGGAAGGGCTTAGGCATCGGGGTTGAGGGGTGCAGGGGCTCAGGGTTTAGAGGGACACCCAAAAAAACCTTGAAAAGAAGAAACACGAAGACCAAAAACCATCAAAAACCCCTAAAGTCCCAAAGAAAACCCGAAAGAGACTAAAACCCATCAAACCCCTCAAAGCCCTCAAGACACAGGGTTTTGGGGGGGTTTAGGGAGTCCCGCCTAAACCCCTCCGCCATCAAAACCCTCAAAAGCCCGCAAAACCCTATGGGGTTCTGGGGGGGACCCTAAACCCTAAACCCTAAACCCTAAACCCTAAACCCTAAACCCTAAACCCTTTAGGGGTTCAGTGGGCTGCAGCCAAAGGATCCCTGCTCGTTGGTCTGGTTGGTCTCGTTGGTCTCATTGTTGGTCTCATCAACCGTTTTCGCTTGCGGCATGACAGACCTCGGGTTTAGGGTTTAGGGTTTAGGGTTTAGGGTTTGGGGTTTAGGGTTTAGGGTTTAGGGTTTAGGGTTTAGGGTTTGGGGTTTGCGGTTTAGGGTTTAGGGTTTACTCTGACTTCGCAACATCTCGGAGCTTCGGGGGTGTAGGGTTCAGGGTGCAGTCTTTAGTACTCCTAAACCCCAAACCCTAAACCCCAAACCCCAAACCCTAAACCCCAAACCCTAAACCCTAAACCCCCAAAAATCTCAGCCCTCTCTCAACCAAGCCGCGAATTCTGCCTGCCCAAGATCTTGGAAGCGCCACGCTGCATGCGGACTTTGTTGCTTGGCCTTGTGGCCGTGGTGCTGGATTCTGGGATATTATTGTTGGGTCTAGGGTTTAGGGTTTTGTAGGGCTTAGGATTTAGGGGTTAGTGTTAGGGTTTTGAGTTTAGGGTTTAGGGTTTAGGGTTTAGGGTTTAGAGTTTAGGGTTTAGGGTTTAGGGGCTTTGTGGGGTTTGGTTAAATCACCCTCAAAGGGTGCTTTAGGGTTCTTGGAGTTTAGACTTCAGGGTCTAGGGTCTATTTATACCCCTCCTTGTACCTCAGGAACGTTCGAGTCGGAGAAGTGATTCAGGGCTCAAGAACTCCGATTTTCACTCCCTAAACCCTAAACCCCAAATCTTATAAACCCTAAACCCCGAAACCCGAAACCCTAAACCCTCAACCCCAAATCCCACACCCTCAACCCTAAACCCGAAACCTTAAACCCTCAACCCCAAATCCCACACCCTCAACCCTAAACCCGAAACCCTAAACCCTAAACCCCAAACCCTAAACCCTCAACCCTAAACCCTAAACCCTAAACCCTAAACCCTAAACCCTAAACCCGAAACCCGAAACCCGAAACCCCCAAGAACTGGCTGACAAGGGCGGGCGGCCGCTCGAACTCGGGCATCTTGAGGTTCATGCAGCCTGGGGCGGGGGCCCAAGAGCTGCGCTGTAGGGCAGTTTAGGGTTTAGGGTTTAGGGCTTAGGGTTTAGGGTTTAGGGTTTAGGGTTTAGGGTTTAGGGTTTAGGGTTTAGGGTTTAGGGTTTAGGGTTTAGGGTTTAGGGTTTAGGGTTTAGGGTTTAGGGTTTAGGGCTACTTGCACGAAATGCCTTCTGCATCAAGCCCTTGCAGCAACCCCATGAAGGAGTCCGCAAAGGCCTGGCCATCCATTTTCCTACCGTAACCATGCCCAAACCCTAAACCCTAAACCCTAAACCTTCAACAAAAACACCGCCACCACCACCCAAACCCGACAGTAGAGAGAAGCAAAATAACACGGCGTAACCCGCCATCATACTTAGCATTGGCTGCCAGCCGCACTCTACGTATCACTACGTTTAGGGTTTAGGGATCAAGGGTTTAGGGTTTAGGGTTTAGGGTTTAGTTTAGGGTTTAGGTGTTCGGCTTCGGGGCTTCGTCTGTCTCTCTTTTCTGGCGGCTCTTCAGGCGAATGTACCATGGAACTTGTGGGCCAACCGTTTGTGGGAATGCTCGGCTGTCTGCTAGATCAGCTTGTGGAGGCAAAGCATAACATTCTTGGCAAAGTGGGCGGCCCCTGGCTTGCTCGTAGCTTTCTCACTTCAGAACCACACGCTTGATTTCTCCCATCTTCCTTGGTCTAATGTGCTGCCAACTTTCCAAGAACGTCGTGTGGGTTCTTCGTACATGTCTTGAAATGCGGGGCTCAACTTCTTCATCGCCCAGAAGACATCTAACTGCACAACTTGAGCGGTAACTTGAATCGTCAGAAATGCGTTTCTATATTTCTTCCAAAGTACCAGTCAGCCCGACACGAGAGTTGTTGTTGATTTGTGTTGGCTGTCTGGTTTGTTTTTTTCGCGCTGCCCTCCGAACTACACAACAACAATTGTTCAGGAGCATAATCAGGCCATAGAAACATACACGCACATCCACACCATTTTACAAACATGATGCCCGTTGCTGCTGCGGCATCTGGAGGAGGAATGTTGGGGCTAGAACCAAAACCCTAAGCGCAAAACCCTAACCCTAAACCCCAAGCCCTACACCCTACACCCTAAAGCCTAAGCCTTAAACCCTGGAGAAAGCGCCCACGACATGCTTGTGCTCAGTGGCACAGCACTCCGCAGCAGCAACAGCGTCCCGCCCAGAAAAGCCCACCTGGCAATTCTTCGTTTAGGGTTTGGGGCTCCAGGGCTCAGCGACTCGGAAGTTCTAGATCCTGGCACACTTGAAAGCCCTAAATCCACGAGGAAACCTAGGAATTGGCTTGGGTGGATGGTGGCTGGGCACCCTCAACCTTGAAGCCCAAGCCCTGAAACCTAAACCCTAAACGTTGTTTGAAGACGAGGATCATACGGACCAAAGCACGACGCAATCCATCGCTCTGGGGGGGGGGGGGGGGGGGACACATGTGTGTATACATATATATATATATATATATATATATATATACATATACATACATACATACATACATACATACATACATACATACATACATACAGACATACATACATACAGACATACATACATACAGACAGACAGACATACAGACATACAGACAGACAGACAGACAGACATACAAATACATATACATTTACATATGTCTATGGGGTGTAGATATGTGCATGCATACATGGCGAACCATATCCTATCTTCAAGTGGCGAACCCCACTTCCGAAGCAAGACTCTTCGAACACGTTCCAGGCACGAGATCCTATATAGACCCCAACCCCAAACCGCCTGCAAAGAGAAAGCCATAAAAGCCCAGCGTGATGACCAAGAAAGGCAGCAAACCTGAGTCTCACAAGGCTTCAGTACTTGCAGGTTCGCGGGTGGTTCTAAGCGGGGTTGCAAGTGTACTATCATTACCACTGACTATAAGCGTATTTGGGGAACCCTCAACCCGAAACCCGAAACCGTAAGCCCTAAACCCTACTTAAAACTACCCATGAACCTCCGAAAAATCTCACGAGACTTCTCCGAAGCCCTCCGAGGGGAGGGGAGACGGCAACCAAGCGGCACAGCCCGACAGCCCACGAGAGGGCCGTCGTGACGAAGAGAGCCTCGTCCCATCCGAGGGGTTTAGGGGTTCAGGGGTTTAGGGGTTTAGGGTTTAGGGGTTTAGGGTTTAGGGTTTAGAGTTTAGGGGGTTTAGGGTTTAGGGTTTAGGGTTTAGGGTTTAGGGTTTAGGGGTTTGGGGTTTTGGGAAATGCACAAACTGCCCCGATTCGTCCGAGGGGCGTCGCCGTCTTCGTCAAAGCTCTTGACCAAACAGCAGACCTTGGCACGCCCGAGTTGCTAGTCAGCCACAAGGGCTCTTTATGGCCTGTCGGGCTTCGCCCTAAACCCTAAACCCTAAACCCTAAACCCTAAACCCCTAAACCCTAAATCCTAAACCCCTAAACCCTAAACCCCTAAACCCTCAACCCCCTACACCAGGGGACGGCTGGCAAGGCCCAGGAGCAATCATGACCTCGAGGAAGACGAAGGTGCCGAGGATGCCGAGGTTGCTCTGCAAAAGATGAGGGAGAAGAGCTTTCTGGAGGGGGGTTACTTGGGGGTTTAGGGTTTAGGGTTTAGGGTTTCGGGTTTAGGGTTTAGGGTTTAGGGTTTAGGGTTTAGGGTTTAGGGTTTAGGGTTTAGGGTTTAGGGTTTAGGGTTTAGGGCTTAGGGTTTAGGGTTTAGAGTCTAGGGTCTAGGGTCTAGGAGTTTGGGGTGCGTTTCGGGCTTCTGGGCTTAAGGCCTCCGGATCTCAGCCCAGAATCTTCAACCCTTCACCTGAACCCTCGCTGGCGATAAATTTGACAGTAACCGGCAGCGACCTCGTGGAAGATGTCGCGCGTCTTCGGCAGCTCCCACTCGTCGCAGATCCAAACGGCGCCCAACCTGCCAGCATATTGCAACCCTAACTTCTAAGGCCCCTCACAAAAGGCTGTTCCTGAGCTTGGCGCCATGCTTGTAGGTTCAAGGGCAGACATAAGCAAGACCATATAGGAAACTAAAGGTACCCCCTACTTGTAATCCCAGCTACAACTGGCCGTGAACCCTGAAAAGCCAAAACCCTCCAAGTGCTCATGGCCTGTTTAGGCTGGAGTCCGATGCCTCGCAGCTGCTCCATTCGACCTGGTCGCGGGCCATCTTTGCGCCCCCCCCCCCCCCCCCACTACACTCGAAGGATTCATTGGGGTAGATATCGCTGCCCGGTTAGAAGTAGTGCAACTATTTGCTCTGACCTGGTTCTATCCTCAAAACGCTACTTATTGATTGTATAGCTACACAATAAACCCTAAGCCCTAAGCCCTAAGCCCTAAACCCTGAACCCTAAACCCTAAACCCTAAACCCTTCTTTGCCGGCGATCCCTTGGCTTGGCAGCGCAGTAACCCTATTATAATATAACGGTCCCCATGTTGGGGTTGGCTGCTTGTGATGTCCCCCCTTATACTCACAGCCCCTACTAGGGATTCTAGTACCCCCAAGTCTAATCTCTAGTAAGGACTGTTAGTATAAGGGGGGAACATCCCAAGGTTGGTGACTTTTCTTCTGAGGGAACTCAGCCCTAAAACCCAGAACCCTAAACCCAGAACCCAAAAAGGGCAAAAGGGTACCACTCAGCTACCAAGTATAGGGCCATCTGGGGGTTCCCTATGAATCCCGAAAGCAAGTTGACAAACATCACCTAGGGAGGAGGTACCCTAAACCCGAAACCCTAAACCCTAAACCCGGTTTCGCCTAGGACGTCCCTGGGCATTGTGGGCGAATGAAAGCTCTCCTCTCCATTCTTTGACAAGAGAGACCTCTCTGGTGCCTTCTCATATGGCCTACAGGGCCTACTCAGGAGCTATGTGTTCTACCACCTTGGGCCGCTCCCATCCGTTTCCCTGCCTCCTCCAAGGAAGCGATGTCGCCTTGCCACGCCGTGCACTCGTCATTGATGTTATACCTGCAGAGAGGGAGCGAACTCCGGAGCTCCCAAGCGCCTGAAACATCTCAGCTTTAGTGGTTTAGGGTTTAGGGTTTAGGGTTTAGGGTTTAGGGTTTAGGGTTTAGGGTTTAGGGTTTAGGGTTTAGGGTTTAGGGTTTAGGGTTTAGGGTTTAGGGGTCTTGTGCAGCATGAAAGGAAAGAGAGCTTCTTGAGGGAGGCAGAAAGCAGAACGGAGCCGGCTTCCCAAGAGAAGCAGAGGATCCCAAGCGCCTGGTGCATGCGTAGCTTTCGAACTCGACGCCCTCGGTGTACTGGTCGATGGACTGCCTGAAAATCGAGTGCCCGTGCGAGGTCTTTAAAACATCCCGAATTATCCAACAGTTCAAGAAATCTTGGCATTGAGGGTGACCCTGTGCTGAGCCCGCCGGATGTGAAAGATGCTCGGGGTTTAAGGTTTACTTGGTTGTTCGTGGGTAGTTACGAGTAGGGTTACCAGCGCCCTAAATACGGTTATCACCAAATAAATCTCTAGTTATCTTACTTATAACCCCAATTGCAACTACCCATGAACCTCCAAGCAGGGTTGAACCTAAACCCCTAAACCCCTAAACCCTAAACCCTAAACCCTAAACCCTAAACTGTAAGGAACCACTGGAGATCTTCGTGACTCGGGGGTTGGGCTTGAAGCCACCGTCAAGACCCGAGCTGCGTGGTGCGAAAGAGCACGCTGAACAGGCCCACCTGGGTCTGCATGGGTTAAGGGAGATGTGGGGCTTAGGGCTTAAGGGTTGAGGGTCTTAGGGTTTTTCTGGCTTCGGGAGGTTTAGGACTTAGAGGGCTTAGGGCTTAGGCAACCACAGGCTGCAACCTTTGAACCCCCCCCCAACACCCTTGCGGGCTGCGGGATGTGCCCCCCTGGGGCTCTGGCATCTCGGTCTTCGCACACCCACCGAGCGCAAGCCCTGGGCTTCGGCTCGACGGCTTGAACACAACCCAAGAGGAGCTTTGGAGGAGCTAAGGAAGACTCTTAGAAATTTCAAACTCTGCGTTTTTTTGTACCAAGGGCTTTCAATGATGTTGCTCTTTATTCGTAGGGGGCTTTTTTGTTTTTGTTGACCCTCAAACTCTCAGGGCTTTGTGGTTAAGCCTTCCATGCGGATAACCGCAGCATTCTTGAAGGTTCGTGGGTAGGATATAGCCCGCTACACCTAAAGTTGCCTTACCTAGAACTTCTCGCCCCACTTAGCACGACTCATCCATTCATGTCCTAAACTAGTGCCTTAGAATCCCTTGATTTTGCGGCTCCTCGAGAAGAGGGGGCCGCATGACAGGAATCCGACAAGGGATCCCTCCCATAACCCAAAGAGCCCCAAATACCCCCTAAACATGGACGATACCTTAAATGAGGACTATACCTTAAATCATATTCGGGATCCCTTTATAGCTTAAGGTATATCGGTCTCTCTTAATCAAGGGGTGCTGGGTTCTCTTGGAACCCAATCCCACAAACCCTAAACCCTAAACCCCAAGCCCTTATCCAAGATCTGTACCCGACGCCCCATGCCGAGAAGCTTTCCGCCAGGAGCCTCTTGGCGGCACTCGCACATCTGGATCTCGGTTTCAATCTCCCGCCATCTGGGGCACTGCCTCGAACAGGATCACTCTTTGGAGATTAAGGGTTTGGGGGTTTTGGGTTTAGGGTTTAGGGTTTAGGGTCCCGGCATCTCCGATGCTTGCCATGCTTCATGCTAGCTAGAGATTCATCCTAGCCCCCGAAAGCTTCCACCTCTTTGCCAACTGTGCATTGTCGCCGTTAACGATGCAGACGTCGCCCCACCAGAAGTAGACGTGCCTTGATACGGGACTGTACCTCAGGCAGGAACATGGTCTGCCGCAAGCATGCCCGAAAAAAAATCCGAAACCTTGGCTTTGCATCAGAACCGCAAGCACAACAGCCGAAAGGCCCCGAGACTGCGGAAGAATCAGCACTCTGATGTCTACCGGAAACCCTAAACCCTAAACCCTAAACCCTAAAGAAAAAGAGATGACCCGAACTTCTGGCCCGGGTGCGCAAAGACCGGAGGCCAGTCGATGGTGCCTGAGGAGAAAAAAAACACCCAAACCCTAAACCCCAAACCCTAAACCCTAAACCCCTAAACCCTAACCCTAAACCCTAAACCAAAACTCCGCGCCTACATGCTAATTACAAGAAGGCAAGGCCGTGTCTGCACAACGGCTTCGCTCTAAGCTTGTCTTGGTCTTCGGCCCCCCACCCCCCCTTTGCCCCCCCCCCCCCCACCCCCGTTTCGGTACATGTGTAGGGTTTTTTTGGGCTGAGACATGCTGTTTGCGTGTAAACACCCATGGAACGGAACAGGTCCCCTGCAGCCTTCGCCCCAAACCACTAGCTACCCCGGAAAGCGCTTGCAGTAGCACGCGTCTCGTGTGAAGAAACGGAAGCGGCACGGCGCTCCGAAGGCAAGGGGCCTGCGAGCTTTCTTGGCTCTGTGACGATGCCAAGCCTTGCAGGCACGCTGGGCTTCAGGGTTTCAGCGCTTTCAGGATTTGCATCCCAGCAACCCTTACTCTCGTAGCTTAGACACCTGCTTACAGGGGCATGACCCTATCCAGCATCTGACGGGATGCATATTTTCGCAGATTGCCAAACCCCGTACCCTTAAAGCCTAAACCCCACGGCCAAAAGCCTCTCCAGCCGTTCCACCTCACTGGCGTTGTGCTGGCGCAGGTAACCTTGGGCACGTCCCCAACGAACACGCATGCAAATTTGCTTTGCCTCAGGCACCTGAAACTCGAAGATCCGAACCGTGGATGCGAAAGATCTTCTTTCAGCTGCTCTCACCATTCCCAAAAACCAAACAACACCTAGCCCTAAACCCTAAACCCTAAACCCTAAACCCTAAACCCTAAACCCTAAACCCTAAACCCTAAACCCTAAACCCTAAACTCGACTCTTACCCCTCTAACACCCAAACTTCGCCTAAGCAAGGTGGGTTTGGAGATGCAAGGCCGCGGGCTTGGTGAGGCCAGGCTTGGAGGTTCACGGGCAGCTTTTGACTTAAGGCAGCTAGAACGATAACTACCCATGAACTTTCAAGTAGCCCTAAACCCTAAACCCTAAACCCTAAACCCTAAACCCTAAACCCCAAACCCTAAACCCTAAACCCCACGTAAACCCTCAACCCCCCACGTAAACCCCCCACGTTCATGCATCCAAAGACCCACATACTCCCGAAGGTGGTCCTCGTCATGCTCAGGCAGCTCCCCCTGCAGGTCAAGAAGACAAGACCCCCAAGACCACCAAATCTCCCAACCCCCAAAACCTAAACACCCGAAACCCCAAGCCCTAAGCCCTAAACCCTAAACCCGAAGCCCCAAACCCCAAACCGTAAACCCTAACCCTAAACCATACTGAAACCTAATTGACCTAATCAAACGTACCCCGAAGAGCTCCTCAAACCCCGGGCCCTGAGCACCCTAAACCCTCTAACAGCTCCTGCACAGCCCCCAAAAACGTTCAGGATTCAGGATTTAGGGTTTAGAGTTTAGGTTTTAGGGTTTTGGGTTTAGGGTTCAGGGTTTAGGGTATAGGATCCATGCTTTTCGTGGTTCTCTTAGTATGGGAGCTTCGGGAACCAGCTGTGATCTGGGGGGATACAAGGTACCCAAGAGCTCGTAAGTCCGACCGGTACGCAACCTTCTAAAACCCCGCATCCCAAACCGCAAGTCCTAAACCCCAACCCCAAACCCTAAGCCCCAAACCCTAAACCCCAAACCCCGAACCCTAAACCCCAAACCCCAAACCCCAAACCCTAAACCCTAAACCCCAAACCCTAAACCCCAAACCCTAAACCCCCCCACCTCACCCAGCCGCCGACCGATGTCGGCACTCCAGAGACTCGTGGGCCGCCACCAACTTGGTCCCGGGTTTAGGCTTTAAGGGGGTTAGGGTGGGTTAGGGCTTAGGGCTTAGGGTTTGGGGTTTGGGGTTTAGGGTTTGGGGTTTAGGGTTTAGGGTTTAGGGTTTAGGGTTTAGGGTTTAGGGTTTAGGGTTTAGGGTTTAGGGTTTAGGGTTTAGGGTTTAGGATTTAGGGTGAGAAAAACCCAAGAAGCAACGGAGGCCAGGACACTGTTGAAGGGCATTCTCCCCGGTTGTGAGCGCTCCACCCGCTTGCTGCTCCCTTAGAATCTCGCGGGGGAAGGGGGGGGGGGGAGGAGGGGTGACGGGAATTGTGTCACCCTAAACCCTAAACCCTAAACTCTAAACCCTCAGCAAAAAGATTGTCTCAAAGGCACATGAGCTGGTTGTAGACGTCGTAGTTCATTGGGAAAGGGGCATAGTAGCACTCCTCCTTACTTTGCCCATCATCGTTGGTTGAATGGTGGCCTGAGCTGCTGGGCAGGACGGCCGCAACATGGCGCGGCTGCTTCGCAAGAGCTTCATGTTTAGGGTTTAGGGTGTAGGGTGTAGGGTTTGGGGTTCAGGGTTTGGGGTCAAGGGTTTAGGGGCCGTTTCAGGCTGTTTTGCACAACAGCAAATGCCTGTATGGAGCACGGAGCGGCAACACTACCCCACCTAAAGCTGAGAAAACCCTGAACCCTCAACCCCAAACCCTAAATCCGAATCCAGGGACAGATGTGCTGATCGGCTTCCAGGCTGTGGCAGCTCCACTTCTCGCAGTACTGGTTGTTCGCCGCGAGCTGATAGCACTTGCCTTCAGAGGGCTTCAGGGTTCCCCCCCGAGTAGCCCTAAACCCTAAACCCTCAACCTGAAGTTTAAGGGAGGGTGACCCTAAACCCTGGGTTTAAGGGGGCTGATAAGCGTGCAAAGGGACAGGGAGGTCTGCTGCTCACCTGGGGGGGGGGGGGGGGAACTCTAACCTTAACACCGAGCCAATTGGCCACTCTCTCCGCAACTTGAGGGCTTCTGGCCTAGGAGGGTTTTAGGGCTCGGGGTTTAGGAAGCTAGGGGTGTAGGGTGCAGGGAGCTAGGGGTCTAGGGAGTTCAGGGCTTAGGTTTGGATCGGTGGGAGATATTGCAGAGCAGCTGCACATTCCAAAGTCATGCTCTCCGCAGTTCCACTCGTGCGACGTCCACGAGACACATATATCGCTGGTTGGGTGCATGGACACGCATTGATAGTCCTCTCAGGTTTGGCTCTCGAACCCCAATAAACCCAAGTCCCGCAATCCCCTAAACCCTGGCGCCCTAACGAAAATCTGCGATTTTGTGGGCGAAAGTAAACCCTAACCCTAAACCCGCACCAGCCAAAGCCCCAAAAGCGACGACAGCTCGGCATTTAACAGACAACGGAATGCGCACGCAGGCCCGTACTTGAAGGGTCTTGGGTAGAGTTGTAAGCACCCCAATGAGGTTCATGAGTATAGTTGGGGGTTTTAATGCTTAGGGCTGAGGGTTAGAAGAACCCAAAGTAGGGTTATCTTTGACCACTGATAACTCAAGGCACCCTACTTACCCAATTTACCCACTAGCCTCCTAGTTCTAAGTAGGCGGCGTACAGCAGGCTGGAGCACAACTTGCCAAGCATACGAGACCGGATGCACGAAGCCTACCAAGGGACGGAGCGAATGCTCTTAGCATGAAACTCACAGGGGACCTCAACGAGAGCCCCATCTACCTCGGGTTTTGCCACGAAAAAAGCGCGAGTGCCGACTCCCAGAAGCCCATGCCCACGAAAGGGGGTGGGCCGCGAAACCCTAAACCCTAAACCCTAAACCCTAAACCCTAACCCCAAACCCTGCCTAACGGATGCCTCAGGTACACCCTCCTTGCCTTCGATTGCCACACTGCTTGGGGAAATATTGACCCGGCAAGGGCGCAGGGCTCAGGTACCATTTCGGGGAATGAAGGTCACCTTGTACACCCTAAACCCTAAACCCTAAACCCTAAACCACCCCGGCTCGAAGCAGAATCCTAAACTCAATGCTACTTTTGGGGTCCCAAGTATCGTTCGAACTGGTTTGAAACCCTGCTTGGGTGCTTTTGCAACCCAATGCTGAAAAAGTACCCCATGAACCTTCAAGTCAGGGCCTCTTAAACCCCTAAACCGTTCAAGATCCCTGACCTCTCCTAAACCCCAGAACCCCTAAACCCTCGAACCCCTAAACGATAGAACCCCTAAACTCCAGCACCTCTAAACCCTCAACCCTCAACCCTAAACCCTAACCCTAAACCCCACTAAGAGGCTCCTCGGACTCCAAGTCGGGCCACCAGACCCAGGTCGGGTTGCCTCGCCAGATGCCGTCCACGACGCGCCCCGTCCTGCCCGAAAAGGTGCTCAGTTTATGAGTTTAGGGTTTCGGGTTTAGGGTTTAGGGCTAGGGCTTTGGGGTTAGGGTTTAGGGTTTCGGGTTTAGGGTTTAGGGCTAGGGTTTTGGGGTTAGGGTTGTAGGGTTTTGGGCTTGCGTGGTTTTATGGGGTTTGGGTCTAGGATGGCTGAGAGGGAGACATGGGGGGACCTCGAGCCTTCGCGGAGGAGACCCGGCAACCCCGAAACCCTAAACCCTGAACCAAACCCTAGAGCCTTCAACGAACCACTTAGGCTTCAGGCCTCCAAAACCCCCCATAAGCCCTTAATTCCAGACAACCCCATAAACCCTCTCAAGCCCTCTCAAACCCTCTCAAACGCCATATCAAGCCCCCATCAAGACCCTATACAGCCAGCCCCTTTTGCAGACTTCTCCCTTTGCCCCCTTGCTTGGAGCCTCTAAACCCTAAACCCTAAACCTCCCCCCCCCCTTTGGAGCCTCTGATCGAATTCGCTGCTGTCCGGGCGCCAAGACAGCTGCGGTTGTGGAGGCTGGCAGCCGCAGCCCTGGAGAGTGGTCATCCAGGCCAGGACTCCTAGGGTGGAGGAGGGTTCGTTCGGGTTTGCAGGGTTTGGGGTCTAGGGTTTGAGGGTTAGGGGTTTAGAGTTTAGGGGCTTGGGGTTTAGGGTGTGCGGTTTACGGTTTGGAGTCCTTTTGGGTTGAGGGTTGAGGGTTGAGGGGCTTTTAGGGTTGAGGGGTTAGGGCGCCCGGTCCTCCAAGGAGAAGGAACCGCTTCGGGAGTCCGGAGCTGGCGGCGAGGGTCCTTGGCAGCTCCGCGCAGTCCAGCAAGCAATCCCCAAACCCGCAAATCCCGGCATCTAGAAAGCTTCGACCAGACCTCACCGCACTTCCGGGGGGGCAATCCGACAAAATGGAAGGGGGTTTTCCCTTCTTTTGGTGGAGATATGATCAGGAAGAGTGAGACTTTTGCCCTAAACCCTAAACCCTAAACCCTAAACCCTGAGGTGCACCGCAGGCGCAGGGCCAGGGGCAGCGCGACACTCGCGGCTCTGGCGCTGCTACCTGGGCTGCGAACAGCCCCGGAAGCTTTGCTGGGAGCCCGAAACCCTAACCCTAAACCCCAAACCCTAAACCCTAAACCCCAAACCCTAAACCCTAAACCCTGAGCCCTAAGCCCCAAACCTGCGCACTCTGCGCAGGATGCGAGGGAACCCTCGGAAAAAACAGTCAACTCCGGGCTGCACTGCACGTCGCAGGTGTAGTACTCGGCACCACTCGAGGTGTTGGCCTGAAGAAGCTCCGGCATGAGTCGACGTGGCTTCTCAAGGGTTTAGGGTTTAGGGTTTAGGGTTTAGGGTTTAGGGCTTAGGGCTTAGGGTTTAGGGTTTAGGGTTTAGGGTGACATGAGTCGGGAGGGTTATGGGGGTTTCCGATGTTAGGGGTACCTTATTATAAGATTCGGGGGTCGCTTTTGATCGTATGGACGCTTTTTTGTAGAGTTTGTGGAGTCTAGCCCCGCTTAGGCGCCTTGAAGCCCTCCTCCAGGGCTATGTTGCACAAAGCGGCGTAGTTCCTCCGCTGGGCTTCGCAACAAAAAACGCGAGACAATTCCGAGGAGGTGGCTGCTCACAAAGCCCCCCGTTGCTTTTTTGGGGGGCCCTAAACCCTAAACCCTAAACCCTAAACCCAAACAACTCTAAGCCCCATTTTTAAGGGGCGCCCAGGCCAGAGCTCCTGATGCAGTCCCCCCCCTCGCGGTTGGCGCAGAGTGCCTCAGTGGCTCCCAAAACTGGTTCGGGCTTCGGGGCTTAGGGTTCAGGGGGCCTACACCCTTGTGGCGCTTATAAGACGGAGCCCACACCAAAAAACAGAGAAGGCTTAAAAAAAGAGCCCAAAAAAGGGGGCCTCAGAGAGCGCATCCTCTCACGGTCTCCCCTTTGGTGCTGCCCAGGTAGCGGCACACTTCAGCTGCGCGCACTCATCCGGCCCGTTCGGGGTGATGCAGTAGGTGCAATGCTGGACGCACCTGTCTTTGTGGGCTTCCTGGGCTTCTGGTCCTAGTGGGGTTTAAGGGCTTTGGGGCTGCAGGGCCCACACTGTAGCAAGTGTTTTTACCCTTCCGAGTTCTCCCACAACTCAGCTGCACAAGCAGGGAGGTCAAGCAGCAACCAAGGGCTGCACCCACGATACCCATAGTAGCTGCAGCCCTTGATGTTGAGGTCGCTGTGCCAAACGCAGGTGTTTCCTCGACATGCTCACGATACGACCATGACTGTCAGCTGCAAGATCAGCCATAAACCTCTGCCGCGGCTCGGTACAGATCCTCACAGCCCTGGAGCACGCATGCTGCTCCCAGAGCCAGCGCGGCCAGCACAGTCTTGCAAAGCCTCTGCAAGAAGTTGAGGATTCGACTTAATATTGGGGCTGGCGTCATGATTCGTTTCGGAGGGTGTGTACAACACTGAAGTCGAATCCCCCCCCCTCCCCAGGAAACTTCCCAAACCCAAACCCACGCCAGAACCTTGAGAAACAGACCCCCTAAACCCCCGTAAATTCCCCCAAAACCCCCCCGAAAATCCCCCCCAAGACCCCCCCAAAACCCCCCCAAAACCCCCCAAAACCCCCCCAAAACCCCCCCAAAACCCCCCAAACTCCAGGCTTCAAAAAGAACTCCGAGTCGAGCCGCCCTTTGCAAGGCGATCCCTTTGCTCCCTCGGCCATGGGCACCAGGAGATGTCAGGTTGCCCCTGGAAAGCTCGAGCCGAAACATGGCCTAATTGCGCCACCCACGCGGCTTCAGAGCGAACCCTGTTAAGGTTTCGGGTTGAGGGTTTAGGGTTTAGGGTTTAGGGTTTAGGGTTTAGGGCGGCTTCAAGCACCAAAAGGAGCTGGAGGATAAGTCATAGGAGCAGCCTAAACCCAAGACCTCAACGCTCCAAGCCCATTCTCCAGGGCCCCCTAGCACCAGAAAGCTCCTTCCGCAAACCTTGGAAACCCTAGATAAACCCCCAAGAAAGCCCAAGAACCCCTAGAAGCCGCGCTCTCCAGCGCCTTCAGAGCACAGCGCTCAAGAGTGGCCTCCCGCATGTCCTCGTTCTGCTTTGTCTGCAGAGCCAGAGGGGCCGAAGGCAGGTCCAGGTGAAACCTGCGAGCGAGCCCTTGTGCGTCGCCCTAAACCCTAAACCCTAAACCCTAAACCCTAAACCCTAAACCCTAAACCCTAAACCCTAAACCCTAAACCCTAAACCCTGAACCCTGAACCCTGAACCCTAAACCCGAGCTGTACACTGAACGTAGACCCCAAGAAAGTATTCCCAGAGACTCCAGCGCCATCCCAAAGACATCGACAACTATCCGACTGCCGCAACCCACCATCCCCAACCTCAATAAGCCCTTTGGTTCTCTGCACCAACCAAAACAACATCAAACAGAACATAACTCTTAAGGGGATTTTATTTCAGGGCTCTCACGGGTAGCTACAAGTAGGCTTAGAAGAAGCCCAAAAGGGGGGCCATAACCACTTGTAACTCTAAGCTACCCTACGGATAACCCTTACTCCACGTTTAGCTGCAGCCAAGTGGCAGCTCTCGGGCGGCCTCGCGGAAGACATGCTCCAGGAAGCCACCCGACCTGACTCGAGCTTCCGACAGGTTTAGGATTTGGGTCTGGCGGCACATGAGTAGGCCGGTGATCCTCACTTAAACTCACAAGCAGCTACTTTTTAAGAGCTGAACAATGAGACGTTGCAGATTTGGGTGGCCGGGGTCTGGCCACAAGCCTACAGACCTAACGGTTCACAGATAGGGGTACTTGAAGGTTTCATGGGTACAAGTAGGGTTCGAAGTACCCGAAAAAGGATCTATAACCGGCAATACCGAAAGTTCTCCCACTTAGAACGCCAATTCTAACTGTGCTTAGAACCTGCTTGAGGGGACTTAAGAGGACTTATAATTGCAGTTAGAGTTGGGGTTACCCTAAACCTTAAACCCTCAACCCTAAACCGTTATAAGTACCCATGAACCTCCAAGTAGGGTCCCCCGCCCTGCATTGCCGCGCACCGCGCAGATCAGTGGCGACGGTCGCGCCTGAAGGGCAGTTCAGCCCTGCGGTCTTGAGGCTTCGGGTTTCTGGGGGTTTTGGGTTTAGGGTTTAGGGTTCAGGGTTTAGGGCTTAGGGTTTAGGGTTTAGGGTTTAGGGCTAGGGTTTAGGGTTTAGGGGTTTAGGGTTGGGGGTTTAGGGGCACTGCCTGTCAGAGTGTGGAGATACACACGGGCGTCCTAGACTCCAAACCCTAAAGCCTTGACCCTTAAGACCCTACGGCCCGAAGAACCCTGACAACCTACGATCTCTAAGAACCCTTAAGAACTTCCAAAACCCGAAACAAAAGCCAAAAGCCCTAGAAACCCTGAAAGCCCCCCTTGAACAAAACCAAGCTGAAGACCCTCAAAGACACCGAAAAACCCTAAACCCTAAACCTTAAAAGCAAAGTCAACTCCCAGCAGCCTGCAGGCTTCCGAGGAAGACATCGGTGAGAACCTCCCGTCTCTCGAGATTCTCTACAGTCGGAGTTGGGGGGCTCACTTTAGAACCCTAAAAGCCCTAAAACCCCCCGAAAGGGTCCCGGGCTCGACTTTTCAAAACTCTCACTTTCTGCGGATACGGAGGTATTTGAGGTTGGGAGCTTGGGGGCGGTGGTGGGGGGTGGGGCGGAGCTTTGTTGGTTAGGGTTTAGGGCTTAGGTTTTCGGGCTTGGGGTTTAGGGTTTCGGGTTAAGAGTTTGGGGTTTCGCGCTTGGAGCTTAGGATGTGCTTTTCTTCAGGCCTATCGCTCCTGAACTCAGCACCTCTCCTCGGATCCCCAGCTCCCATAGCCGAAGCCCACCCTCAACCCTCACACTCAACAAATCCCCCCCAACCCCCCCCAAACCCCCAAACCCCCACCCCTAAACCCTAAACCCTAAACCCTAAACCCTAAACCCTAAACCCCAAACCCCCACCCCTAAACCCTAACCCCCCCCCTAAAACCGAGCCTCACTTCCCAACGGGCAGGGAGGAATCTTCGACAGCTCCGTCTTCTGCGCAGCGGTCAGGGGTCAGGGGCACCCGGGTTGAGGTCTGTATAGGTTTCAGGTTTAGGGTTTAGGGTTTAGGGTTTAGGGTTCAGGGTTTTGGGTTGAGGGTTGAGGGCTTAAGGTGCTTTGGGAGGGTTCAGGGTTCAGGCTTTTTGGGGCCTTGCGGTTCCAATTCTCGGGCTTAGGGCTTAGGGCACGTTGAAATTCCAAAACCCCCGAGACCCTAAACCCCTAAACCCTAAACCCCTAAACCCTAAACCCGAAACCCCTAAACCCTAAAACCCTAAACCCTAAACCCCCAAGACCCAGGCGAGCCTCGCAAGCGTGGACGCCGCAGGAGCCGCAGCAGCCGTCACCGGCGTTCCGGAGCAGCGACAGCCTTAACACTCACACGCACGTCTTGCGCATTCGTCTAGGGTTTAGGGTTTAGGGTTTAGGGTTTAGGGTTTGGGGTTTGGGGTTTGGGGTTTGGGGTTTGGGGTTTGGGGTTTGGGGTTTGGGGTTTGGGGTTTGGGGTTTGGGGTTTGGGGTTTGGGGTTTGGGGTTTGGGGTTTGGGGTTTGGGGTTTGGGGTGCGCTAGGCATCTGAGCATGATGCTTGTGCTCCTGCCAGTGTCTGGTTCTTGCCGTTCTCTCTTGGGCTGGATCGAAGCTCCAAGGGTTCTCTGGCTGTTTCTGCTTGGTGGCATTGCAGATCAGACTCAAACCTGGAGTCCCGAATGCCGAATCCGAAAGCCCTAGACTCCCTAAGCCAAAACCCCTAGACCCTAAACCCTAAACCCTAAACCTCTAAACTAAACCCCTAAACCCTAAACCCCTAAACCCCTAAACCCCTCAACCCCAAACCCAAACCCCTCAACCCTAAACCCTCTGCACTTGGGGGCCAAGGGACAGCTCCGAGGCAGTCAGCACGGTGTCCACCTGCCAAGGTTTCCAGAATGAGGGGCTTCTAAGGGGTTGGGGGTTCACTGCTGAAACCTCAAAACCCCAGAGAGTGTCCCCTGAAGCCCTAAACCCTAAACCCTAAGCCCTAAACCCTAAGCGCTAAACCCTAAACCCTAAACCCTAAACCCTCGTCTAAGGACTCTCTGGGAAGCCCGCCCTGCCTCCTTGACGCCCGAGGCACCCGGCCTGTGAGATCTTCTGGCTTCCCTAAACCCTAAACCCTAAACCCTAAACCCTAAACCCTAAACCCTAAACCCTAAACCCTAAACCCCTGACCCCGCAACCAACTCCTCTTTTGTTGGACACAAGCACGAGGGGAAACATAGCACCGGCACCCCGAGGCCTAAAACCTGAACCCTAAAACCTGAAACCCTAAAACCTTGAACCTAGACCCCCTAAACCACCCAAAACCCTGAACCCTAAACCCTAAACCCTAAACCCTAAACCCTAAACCCTAAACCCTAAACCCTAAACCCTAAACCCTAAATCCTGACCTCCTTGCCAAAGTCTCCCCCTGAGCGGCCCAGCACTTCGAAGGAGGGTCGTGCTGCTTCGATCTTTCTGTCGTAGCAAGGCTGTACCTCAGGGTTCAGGGTTTAGGGGCTAGGGTTTAGGGTTTAAAGCTTAGGGCTTAGGGCTTAGGGTTTAGGGTTTAGGGTTTAGGGTTTAGGGTTTAGGGTTTAGGGTTTAGGGTTTAGGGTTTAGGGTTCAGAAGTTCACATTGGGCTAGAGTTTGTTGGGGGTACCCCCAAACATTCGGGGGGACATGCGTGAACTGCCCAGGGGCCTACTGCATTTCAGGGGAGAGTAGCCAGCAAGAACCTCGTCGAACATTTCGACAGCTGGTTCTAGGCTAACTTGAAAACTGTCTACCTTCACGATCCCAGCAGCCCTTCCTCATGCCTAAACCCTTATCCGAAACCCTAAGCCCGAAACCCTAAACCCTAGACCCTAAGTCTGAATCCGAAGGGTTCAGGGACCCTAGACCCTGAAAGGGCCACTCAAAATATCTTCCATTTGGTCAGCCCTTGTCACGAACGAACACGGGCCCCATCCCAAGTCTGAGCTCCGCACAAAAACGTGATACACCTGAGCTTTCTCTGGGGCAGTCGAGGGGGTTAGGGTCCAGGGTTTCGGGTTTATAGGGTTTTAGGGTTTTTGGGTCTATAGGGTTTAGGGTCTATAGGGTTTAGGGTTTTAGGGTCTATAGGGTTTAGGGCTTAGGAAGCTCTCACTAACGTTGACAAACACAGCCTCGCGCAAGCTGAATGTCGCGTCAAATGCTCTTGCATCATGCAAAATCACAGGGCACAAAAACAAGGTTTAGTTTGTTTAGCGGGTCGGAGAAGCACCGCTAACACACATGCTTGTAGGATTTTGTTTGCCCACGCGCCGCCTCTCTGCGCTGCTTGCATGTGCACACATGCCCAACTGGAACTGTTACGGTCGATGCCATATTCTCCCCAAACCTAGGCCCTAAACCCAAACCCCAAAGCTCAAATCCCAAGGTTGAACCTTGAGCCGTAAAACCCGGGCAAAAGAAAACACAACCCCGAAGATGCTACGCACCAAACCCAAGGAAAAACACAAAAGCCCTCAAGACCTGCCAACCCTGGAAAGCCCTGAAAAAAAGGAATTAAACTTCAAAAAATCCTAAAAGCAGCCCTTAACAGCAAAACCTTCTTAAAGAACCAAAAAGCAAAACTCAACGCCACTGAAAAAGCGCCCCTCCCTGCTTCCAAGAGGCATCGGAGGGCTGTAGGGGAGCAGGGGGCTCCTCTACCTGGCACTTCAGGGGCCTCTTTTTTGGGGGGTTTTTTGAGGGTTTTGAGGGTTTGAGGGTTTTTGGTTTAGGGTTGCGGGTTTAGGGTTTAGGGTTTAGGGTTTAGGGTTCAGGGCCTCAGGGGCACTTTAGTTGAGGGGGCTGGCCGGGCTTTGAGGGATTTAGGACTCCAGTGCCAAACAGGCCGATTCATGGGCTCTGGGGTGGGGCGTAGAGGTTGCTTGAGTGTGCGGAGAGTTCTGGCCTGGGGCTTGGGGTTTTCTTGGGGGGGGGTCTGGTAGTTCTACGGCCTTTTCGGGTATAGGGTGTGGAGTGTAGGGTTTCAGGTTTAGTTTAGTGTAGGGTTTAGCGTTTAGGCAGGGTTCCAGGAAACCAGGCGAGGCCTTCAGAAGCGACTGGATCCAGTAGCTGCTGTGGGCGAAGAGGGGGCTCCCCGCCTGAGCAGGGTGGTGCAGAAGGCCAGGGATTTCAGGGGAGCTTCTAGGACTTCGGGTTGCAGGGTTTTAGGGTACCAGGGCTTAGGGTTTGGGGGGGGGTCTTTAGGGTTGCAGGCTTTTAGGGGTTTGATCTCGGAAGGCTGCATATCTTGAGCCGCGGGCCCGCCACCAGCGGTAGAAGCGTCGCAGGTTCACGGCTCCCAGGAGGGCCGTCTTCACCAGCCGCCCCTGCCTTAGGATCTTGTGGCTGAATTACAACCATTGTATCGATGAGTTGAATGACAGAAATATACAGAAATGGTTTATGAATCTCTTCTGCTAAACCGGTATTCTAAAAAAAGGCCCCCCAAGTGAAACTGGCTGGAAAACGTGGATTCCCGACATACCGCGGATCTCGGGCAACTGGACAATGCATACTCGGAAAGCACGGATTCGCGGAACTGCACGTGAACTGTCAGAACTGGATTCGGACAGACAGCGGGAGTACTGAATGGCAGTTTCCTGAATCTCATGGTATCCTGAGAGGGGCAGTTTCGGGAATCGCGT